CTATACTATACTATAGTATACTATAGAAAATAATAATTTACTATAATATAATGTGTGGTCCCAGGTCGGCGACCATCAAAGCCTCCGCTCTCTGCATTTTCTGGGAAGTCACGCAGGCGCCTGACCTCTGACTAGCCCGGACAGTTCGAGGCCGTTGAAGGGTGTTTTTGGTTTAGGCCCGCAAGGGGGTTTTGTGTTGCAGGACCCTCCGCATGTGTCGTGAGTTGGCATAGAACAAGCCGACCCAACCATCTGGTCCTAGATACTGGAACTGCCGACTGTAGTTGCATCCCTTATTTTCAGGACAAAGCTATGGCTATTCTGGACCGATATCCTCAAGAGCGCGACCTTTTCGGGGCCGCCTTTCGGACGCAGGAGTCATGACCGACCGGGCTGCACTTTGAGGAAGCTTGTCTCACAAATCCCGGCCTCTCATCCTGAGGTTATTGTCCACAACCTTGACATCAGCGTCCCCGGAAGGCCCGATCTGCAGAGCCACAAAAGCTTTAAGTCTAGACTCTGGACCGGTGGCTCCCTTCAATTGTAGAGGCTGCTGCAGCTACCATTGCTCCGAGCCTTCGACCGGAAGTTTCGCATGCTTCTGACGCTGCTGGCCTGCGAAACTGGTACACCTGAGCCGTGAAACCATAGGATCTCGTGGTATTGAACGGTAGGCCTGTGCAAGTTGCCTTCCACCCTATGTAGAGATGGCATGCAACTGACAGCCGCGCTCCTTCCGAAGCAAGTTCCGACACAGAGGCTTGACGTAGAAAAGGAAGGATTCTGGAAACGAAAAGACTACCCGGTCACTACCTTTCTGTTTCTGTGGCTTTCGAGGCTTTACTGCGAGCGGCATGCCTTCTTCCCAGACCAGCAGATCCTCAAGGAGGGCGAGGCCATGAAGACTGATAATGGACTGTCTCCCATGATGCCCCGATACCAAGCGAGCACGAGTTGTGGTGCTTTGTGTCCGTGCCAGGCTGGTGACAAGTGCTACATATTCAATCTTGGTCCAGCACGCCTCTCAAGGTATGGGCGTGCTGCGACGGGGTGTGAAGCGTTTGCTCCCAGCTGCTGTCCGCAAAGGCCATGCTGCAGAAAAAGGGCTTTACAGTCGCTCTGCAGCACCGAGAGAGGGCTTCATGCTATGGGTTGCTCTTGTCGGCAGGTTCATATTGGTTGTGTCCAGGCTGCCTTGTGTTGGGTCGCGACTCAAGCGTGAATCACAGCTGCAGAACAAAGCCTGTTTGCCACATGCTCCTCCAGGACGCGAGCCCCCAGAGCGGCATCATCACCAGTCACAAGCAGCCACTTCAACCAAAGCACTGCCGGAGTGATGTCGTTTCAGCAGCTTTCCTTAGGTGAAGACTTTCTCGCCGGGGTCACACTTCGGCTGCGACCACATGCTGGGCATCAACAGGCACGAGTTGCGTTGACACGCTGGAACTCCTGCGCGGTGGGGACATGTTTCCAGCATCTTCCCAGCTTTTTTTTCCATGTCTGGCATTCACAGGTTTGCAGACTCTCCTTTAGTTCAGCCTTCCTCTGCAACCTGTCGAGTTGCTGCCCAGCCGAAGCCCCTCAGACTCCAGGCTCTACTGTGGCTCGCTGATCGCCATGACGGTATGCCACATCCTGGCCGTGTCCCGCAGCTCCTACCTGCTGGCCTGGGGAAGTGGAGTGTACACGGTTCTGTCATAAAGGGCCCAGGGCGATGTGGGGTTGGCACTCTGGTCTCAAATTTTGAGGCTCGCGATCTTTGAGTGCTGGTTCTTGCCCCGGTAGCCGCCCACCTTCTTTCCGTAATTGGTCTCATCCCATCCCTTCATACTTTGCTTGATGGGCGTACTTCCGTTTAAGTCTTGCGCCGAAAACCCCCCAAAAGGCGGCACAGGGCTCCAGGTGTCGCGAGCGGACCCTCGCAGCCGCTTCCCCAAAAACCCCAGAACCCCGAAGCCTATAAACGAGGTAGGACCCTTGAAGAATCCCAGGCTCCTCCCATCCTCTCCGACCAACAGCCTTGAAGTGCCAGGCGCTCGAGCAGTATCCGTCGCAGAAGGCGAGCCAACAGCTCCTCCGCCAGCAGCGGGTGGAAGCCAAAGAGCTTCGCCAGGCCATCCAGAGGACTCGAATTTTGGATGCCAGTTTATACTGCTTTTGAGGGTACGTGAGGGTGCCAGCAAAGGAAGCTACTTCTTGGCTCTTCCGTTATCACAACTGCCTTCAGGGGGCAGCGGCTTTTCCGTGGTTTGTGCTGCCATCCTCAGAGCTCAGCTGCAGGATAACGATCCGAAAGAGCATCTGGCAAAGATACCAAGGCCGGAACCCTGTTGCGTGATCCAGCCAACACAATTTTTTCACAGCTTCACAGGCGAGATCCACAAGGAGAAGAACATGTTCTTCCTCTCTGAGCATGTTGCCTGGCGAAGACTGTCCGTCTTGACAGCAGAGTCCGTGCATGATACAGAAGCCGTAAAAGTAGCGGCTGGCGGAACTGCTATTTGGGCAATTTTCTGAATGAGGGTCTTTTTCAGGTCTCCGGAATGGTACGGCACTCTTATAAAGAGGACCCTGAGAGAGCCCCAAACCCTAAACCAACTTGCTGAAGGAGCCGAGGTATCCGGTACAAGCCTGCCTCCTGTAGGCTCTCCGACTCTTTGCGGGGACGGAAAAAGGCCCTTAACAAAAAAACCCAACTACCCATTTTCTACAACTTACAAGCTCCCGGCACAGCCTTCTCAGGACCTGGCCAAGCGATTCATGAAAGCGTGGTTCGAGACCGCCAAGGAGCTCAAAGCGAGAAGGCGCGCGGACTCCTCCCCGACTCGGCTCGCCATGGAAATCATCGGAAAGTTACATAGTACCTGCTATACTAGATAGTATACATTATATTATACATACCTTGTACATTATTAAACATTATATATGTTATATAAGAGATCTTTTTGGGACGTAGCCATAACCCGGCAGAATCAGCTCTCGGAGGTCGGAGCGAAATCGCCGGAGGAAGGAGGTCGAGGCGACACTGCAGCTCGAAGTCTCAAGCGACAACAGGGGTTTAGGGTTTCAGGGATTTTAGGGTACATGCATGCATCATGCTTCCAGGCGGTCGCGTTAGAGCTTTTTAAGCTTCGGCAAGTTACATGTGAGATCATTCCGGATGCATGGCCTGAGCTCACGAGTTGCCTACTCACTAAGTGATTGTGGTCAAGTGTTCGCCCTGGCGGAGTCGCAGCAGGCCAGATGCAAAAGAGTACAGGCACTGTAGCCGATCCAACCTCCTTGGGGGCGACATACCTGCTTTAGTTGCCTTTGAAGCCCCATAAACGGTAGGAAGCAAGACCCGAAACCCGGGGAACACTATTGTGCCCTAAAAGCTATGCCGAAGGAAATGATTGAGAACTGGAAGATGAAGAACGAGGCAGGTTTGAAGAAAGCCGCGTATAAGAAGAAGGAGAGCCTCGGCTTGTAGCTGTTTTTATCGCGAGTGTTTTGAGGGATTCTGGAAGGGGGCATGGTAACTACAGCAACTACAGGGGGTACGGGATACTATAAGGGATACCAGAAGGGTCACTCTCAGGGTGACGACAGCGGTTACTATGTAGGTTGCTGTAGGGTGTTGTTTGCTCCGGTTCAAACGAGGCAAATCCCTGAAGCCTCGGATCAACAGAGTTGTAGCGCAGGCCATTGTTCCCTTTCGTTTTTTCGAACAAAGCACGACATGGGGATGCCAGTCAAAGTGATGCCAGCCAAGGAGAGAGATTCTGGCCAGGAATATTCTCGAGAGGGGCCCACTGGAATTCATCGATCCTCCAGAGTCTCAGACACCCCGGCTGCCGCGCATACCGAAGAAGCAGACGCAGGACTCTGAAAGCGGATGCCTCCCCAACGGTCCCCGAAGAAGATGCCAGAGTCCTAGATCGTCATGTCCGTGCCGGCAGCTTGTGCAATCTCCCGCCTGTATTTATGGAGTGCCATCCTCCGAAGCCCTTAGACATCTCTGGCTGTCCTATGTATTCGTTGATTGTAGGTTGGTGCGATTGCATGTTCCCTACACAACTCCCAGCGAGGAGCTGGTCTCCATCCTCAAAGCCTGGCCCTCGCCCCGTCCATCTCCTCACTACGAGCTGAGCTTCGGTTTGCACCGGATATTTCACGGCGGGAAAAGGCAAGGGTTGCGGTTCACAGCCTCCTCAAGGCCAGGATGCAGCGGAAACTGCGAAAGGACTTCAGGTAGAGAAAGTGGCAAGGATTTAGGGGTTCGGGGGCTAAGGCGGTTCGGGTTCGGACCAGAGCCTACTTCCCCCTGGATCTCAAACTGCCCTGAGCCGAGGAAAGTATGGAATGTCATGAGCAAGGTGCACCGCAGTTTTGCCGGTGATTGCCGCACCAGAAGCATACGATGGCATAGTAGGAGGTAGCATGTGAAAATGCATACCAGTTATGGGCAGTGCAGAAACCCATTCAGTGCGATAAAGTACCACAGCAAGCATCGTGTCGCCGCACAGCATGTGTCGCGTTCTGTGGGCCCATAAAGGTTATCAGAACATCCCCCCAGGGTTCAGGGCTTCGTATTCAGGTTGAGGGTTATAGGGTTATACGGTTTTAGGACTTGGAAATGCTTGTGTCTTTGGTACTAGTTACTAGGGATTAGGTAAAGTCTCAGTGTTTCGGGAAACCGGTGAAGTCTGGTAAGCGCGGAAATCAGGATTGATGCATGTGCGACCCCGCCCCATAAACTATAGACTTGACAGGCCTGATGGACAGGCTTTCGGTAACCTATGAAGCACTAGAGGATCTGGGCATTCAGGCAGGCTTAGGGGGCTCGAGATGAATCGGCACCCTCGCATTTGGAGGGCTCTTTCTGCAACAGCCCCGACCCCGGGATGCGTCTCCCGTCCATGTGCCCGATGTCAAAGTGGAGGAGCTTACGCAGCCGCCTCCTGGCGAAGCAGCCGGTGCTCGGCTGCTGCCAATGCTGCAGGGTGTCCGCAGACGAGGTGCCCTTGGTGCACAGTGGAAGAGTGGTGGTTGTGGTCTTCTCACTGCTGGTTTTCCAAGCCCCCTGCCCTCGGCTTGAACCTTGCACCTGACCTTCCGAATCCGCGAAATAGGCGAAGCCATCCTCGAGGCACCAGGCAGCTTGGCTTTGGTAAATCTGTTTGGCCCCGCTTTCCTCGAGCCTGAGGTTGTGCATTTTGATAGGGTTTTATGCTCATGGCCCGCGACATCATGAAAGCGCAATTGAAGGATTTCGCGGCTTTGTGGCTTGGCGTAATGTATTTGTGCCATCAGGCTAGAGCCCGCCTGCCTGCACCCAAGCAACCTCACCCCTATAGTGGATTTGGAGCAGTAGGAAGATGCATGGCTATGAACCTCGCCTCCTCACCAGCAGCAGCAGCGGCAGCAGCAGCAGCACATTGCCACACCAGCAGCGGCAGTGGCAGTGGCACCGGCACTTGTGGTAGTAGAAGCCCATCCACCAACAGCATCGGCCTGGGACCTCCAATCGATTTTTGCAGCACGGGACAGTGGTGTAGTCATGGGTGAAGCACAGTAGCAGAAGTCATAAGACACAGGCAAAATCTCAACAAGGCCATCATCTCCCGAGCTGACAACGTAAATACTTTGCGTCACAGAAGAAACAAATTCCACTCCACGGCGTCATGCCGCTCTAGGCTCCGATGGCGAAGAGTCGGAAGAGATCGATCTAAATGAGGAGGAAGAGGCCTCCCCTGCCGCCGGAAAAGCCTCAGATGTAGATCTGTGAGAAAAGGCTGCCGTCCGGTTGTGAAGACTAGGGGCCCGAGCGGAAGTCCTCGTAGGGTGCAGGGATGATGCGATTCAAAATTCAGGGAATGGCTTTGGGGCACTCGGGCCACTAGGGGTTTGAGGTCTGCAGGCCTCAGTCGCAGCCAGCGCTTCGGGTCCGCTTTGGGAGTGATCTGGGGCTTACGCTTGCCATCATTCGAGGCGAGACGACATATCATCGGTGCTAGGTTTCGGGTTGTGGGTCCAGGCCCAGGGCTAAGGGCTCAGGGCTTTGTCAGGCGGGTCAAGAGGCTCGGGAGGGCTTTCAGCTCCGGGAGTGGATGCTCTGAACGTCCAATCACTTCGCCTTGACACGTCAGATGTAGGGCTTACGGTTTAGGGTTTTGGGTCGCCCCCGTGTCGAAAGCCACCCCCCTCAGTGCAGGCTCCAGTCGTCGCGATGGCAAGCAACATGAGCACGACGGGCGTCGAAAGGGCCACGAGCCTGGAGGGCTCATGATGCCAAATAAACTCCCTAAGCCCGAAAGGCTAAGGTTTGTCCGAGTGTGAGTGTCAGGAAACCCCCTAAAACCCTCAAAAGAGACTTCGGTTCCGGTCCATATGATTTCGGAAAGCCACCAGTTTGGAGCCGCCCTTTGCTTCGCAAGGTAGGCCTATAGTACACTAACTCGGCCTCCCAAGAGCAAGTGCCCGTTTCAAGCTATTGAGGGCAGCGCGATGCGGTGCCCTTCCCATTTGACAGATATGGGGTTTTCCGAAAATTAGGGTACCTTATTTTGGGGTCCTTATACTATTTAGGGTGCTATATTAGGGTCCCCTCCCTATTTTCGGAAATCCCATATGGGGGTCAAATTCCAGACTTTGGGGATGTGGGTCCGGGCTTGGCCCTGTTCAAGTGCCTGCAGCACACTGTTCACCCCGACAGCTCTCGTCCGAGCTCCGCAGGCGCGCCGCCTGACGCGCCTTCTGAATGCCACGCAGGAGGTGATGGATTCCCATCTCGGTTAGCTCGACTCACTTCGCTCTTTTGATCCTTGGTCGCATGGGAATGCACAGGAATCTAAACGTCGGGTCGTTCGGATGAACGCGGAACTCTTACAAAAAAGTTCAGGAACCCATGGTTAGTACATACATACATACATACATACATACATACCTACATACCTACATACCTACATACCTACATACCTACCTACGTACGTA